GATTGTATGTAAAGAGATGGTTACTCACTGAACAAACATATTATAGTATTAAAACACGTAACAATATTTTGGCAGACTAGAGTCATACGACTTATTCGACTTCCATAGCTTCTATATGCATTTTACATTTTATCAGAGTAAAAGATATGCAAGTATACTTACACAGCCACCGCCGCTTTCTCTTTCTTTCTGTACCCATCTTCGACATTATCCTTCAACTCTTTGACCTGTTGCAGCATCTCATTGTACAGCTTCACTAGTACCCCGGCGTCACCCGACTGCGCGCCGACAATGTGCAGCAATGCTTGCAGTAATATATCTGAAGACTGAAGCCTGAGCTCGCAGGATTCTTGTTCTGAACATATCTCGTTCATTGAATTCTGGAAGAAGAGGTGATAATCAATTTTAGATTTTATATCTATGTGATAGGTTTGATATTTAACTTTTTAAAGGGGACAGTTTTAGCATTAAGAAAAAATAGTAAATATTTATTTGCTGTTATTGTTAGTTTCTCTCTCTTTAGGTGGAGATCTCCTTCTTTAGTGGGTACTTGGGATGATGACAGGATATGAAAAATAAAAATCTAATTAGTCCATAAGTAATGAAAAAATATTAGACACGTATTTTTTTATTTTGTCGTATAATAAAACAATACTTAGATAAAACGCATCAATGTTTAGGAGTGGGGGCTAAAACGTCATTTCTACGTATAAAATGTACATAGAAGTGACGTCACGCGACATTTCAAATCAAGTCAATATATCGTCGAAAGTATTCGTTTCAGTAAGAAAATAAAAAATACGTGTCTAATGATTTAAAATAATCTACTAAACGGACATTAAAATAAAAATTAGGCATCTACCCTATTCCAAGACCACGATCAAAGACTGTGGAGGAACACCGCGGTGGTTTTAACCTGTAAACGTCCGGCACGTCTGATTATTAAGAAGGTGCATGAATAAGTGGTTTTACTTTGTTTCTATGTTTACTTACAATACTAATACTAACTACAAAACAAATTAAAAACTTTTTGTAAGGTATTTTGAACAAAATACAACTCCATGATATTATTTGAATGAGCAATACACTAACTACATGTAACCTAATTTAAAACAAAGTAATAAAAGTCAATATACTTACAATCCGGCTCGCAACAGCGCTGCTATCAGCCCCGACGTGGTGCATGAGTGTGGCGGCGAGGTGCAGGGTGTCCTCGACGGCGCGCAGCTCGCGGCGCAGCGCGCTGTACACCACGCGGTCGAGGCGCGCGGCGCACCGGGTCGTGTCCAGGAGGTGGGTTAAGTCGGCGTGGATTTGTCTAGCGAGAAAATACATTATAACATAACTACATCACGCCTTTCATCCCCGCAGGAGTTGGCAGTACCCCTGCGGGGTACACCTCTGCCTATCGTGTGTTGTCAGTTATTATTTTATTAATTTTAGAGTGTGTAGTATTTGCTAGATGATGTTGTATGTTCGTATGTATGTGTGTAAGAAGTCGTAATTTCGTCATTACTGAAAAATATTTTAGTACTAGCGACCCGCCCCGGCTTCGCACGGGTGCAATATGCATGTATTATAACTACATACAAACCTTCCTTAAGAATCACTCTATCTATTAAAAAAAACCGCATCAAAATCCGTTGCGTAGTTTTAAAGATCTAAGCATACATACGGACATACAGCGAAAGCGACTTTGTTTTATACTATGTATTGATATTTCTTGTAAGTAATCTGAATGTCACATTTGTCATTATTGTTGAATGCCTCGTTTGCCGAGTCGTCGCAAGTGCGATTGCCGGACAAGGGGTCAGGGGTTCGACTCTCGGATCGGGTAATACTTTATTACTGTATTAAAAATTCTTAGTAGTAGCACGGAGTTTGGTATTATGCCCTGTATATGGCGGCTCACCCCCTATTACATGGGACTCGTTACATAAATAATGAAAAGTGGGTGTTACATTACACCGTGACATTAAGTGTTGTAATGTACAGCCTATCCCTTCGGGGATAAAAGCCGTGATGTTATGTTGATTGTTTGCCATCAGGCACAACGGAAAATAGAATTTTAAAGTTCTTGTTAGAATTTATGACTTTAATATTTTATTTATTTAAATTCGCTAGTTAATTGTGGCTTTAAGGCACTACCTTAAATCAAAAACTCTGATATCGAATGGAATGGCAATCCTACACTGTTAAAAAATTATCAGGTTCATTAAATTTTTTTTATAATATTACAGATTAATTCTCCACGGACTCGAGGTCCGTGCCCTTGTCATACATTTTTTTTTATTATAATACATCTAGTCAATTTTTATAAAGTAAAGAGGGTACCTAGTTACACACTACAATTAACTGCATCTATAATTATTACCAAAAGTATAAATTACATAATAATTAGGCATTATCTACTCATAAGGCTTCATGAAATCAGCCCACCAACACGATGGGAGAGCCGACCTGACCCAGCAGAAAGCACCCGTTCACGAGTATGACGTGTGTGTCAGCAATTGGTCCGGTCAACCTTTTTATTGGGAACGGAACAACCCAACACACAGCGCCACCGACTGTACGACATTTATGTGTGCATGACGCCTCAACCCTTGCCACGTGGGCCGATTCCAATAAAGCTTACAATAGTCCAAAGTCAATAGGTTATTTTCTATTTCTACATGTTTCTGCACACACATTTCCTCATGTTGCATTCGTTTTATCACAAGCAACACTCCCCGCCCAAGAGAGCACCCACGACTGCCGCGTCCCTGTGTTTGATAGCCATTTTCAAGTTGTACTCCTTAATCCCTTGCTCACCCTCATCAGCCGCCCTCCTGGGAGGGTTCATTAAATTTACTTACTGCCTCACAGCTAAGGCGCAGCACGCAGTAGTCTCGACGGCGAGCGCGGTGCGCGACTGTACGAACTGTTTGACTGCGTTGTGGAGCTGTTGGTACAGGATGGACTCTTCCTGTTCTAGTAGCTCCACTGCACTTTGAGCTTCCATTAGACAGGATCTGGGTGGAGAGTAAGAGGTAAAACTAACAAATTATATTGCACAGACAGTTTAAAAAATAGAAATAAAAACATTGCCGTAATGTGCACCTCTGCCCCATCTCGGGGATAAGAGCGTGATGTTATGTTATATTTAAAAACATCAAGCGAGACTTATTACAGTTAAGATTAATGAGTAGGTACCTAGGGGAAGGTTTATAGGAAGTTGCAAACATTTGTTTCATTACAACTGTTCCATGTTAAAATGCTATTAAACTGTCAAACACCAAGCGGTCACCGGTGACCGTGATAATTGTGTCTATAATGACGGTACTCGACGAGTTAAGTTGCTCTCACACAATAGTTTATATCGTTATATCCAGTGGCGTAGCACCCCCCCTTGCTTGCCCCCCGAGACCAAGTATGACCATCAATTATAGTTCTCTCCACTTGTAAAAGATCGTAGATCTGTGGAGAGCATAACCGCCACTAATAAAATAATCTAGGTAACTATAATATCGTACCACGAGGATAAGCAAATTAAAATTGATTAAAAACTACTTGTCTTAGATTCTGTAATTAATAAGGTTTCTTATAACTACATTAATAAGGTACATAATTGCCCTTACGTTATTTGACTAGGATGTACGTCCTTATAGTTCGCCACTAATGCGACTTTAGCTTGCTCTCCAGATAGTTCAGCTTTGGATTCAATGTAGGAGCACATTGCATCTGTCAACCTGCAACACATTGAAAATTAGTTACACAATCAAAATGACTTTGCTCCTTAAATAAAGAGCCATAAAGACCATTTTAAATAGTAGCTAGCTTAATAGTATTCTGCTAGGGACAAATTACAAGAAATCACTATATAGTATAAAACAAAGTCGCTATCCGCCGTCTATCCGTCTCTATGTATGCTTAGATCTTTAAAGCTAAGCAACGGATTTTGATGGGTTTTTTTTACTAGATAGAGTTGTTGTAATAATATAAACTTTATAATCTTAAGCATCATCTAATGTTACAAGTAATGCCATCTGGTGTGTGCCTGAGAAGTTAATAGTCTGTCACTTAGTCTTTGCATTAAATGGCGTCGAAATGTGCACTGTTAAGTTTCCTAAATAAAATTACGTTATAAAAGTGCTCATCATTTATTTAAACCAGCAATCAACCACGTCAGCAAGAGTGATTCTTAAGGAAGGTTTATGATACATGCATATTGCACTCGTGCGAAGCTGAGGCGGGTCGCTAGTAAATAATAAACTATTTTCTCACCTGTCTTCCATGCTCTTAGCCTCAGCCAAAGCAGACCTGAGTTCCTCATCAGAAGAGATCTCATTCGCTTTCTTAACAAACTTCTTATTGGTGTACAGATCAAAATGAGAGCGGAATAATGCCTGAGACTGCCTGTAAGTCTCAAAAGGACCGAAGGTGAAGAATTTTCTTGCATTCTCCTGGAAAGATAAAATTGAGTTCAAATAAATATTTTTGCTGGCAAAATAAATAGTACTTAGTCTTAATAATTCGGACATTAAAATGAAGAAAACACATAACAGAACCAAGATACTTCGATAAAATTCATTCTAGATAAATTGGTATATATAATTAACTAGTGACCCGCCCCGGCTTCGCACGGGTGCAATATGCATGTATTATACATACAAACCTTCCTTAAAAATCACTCTAACTATTAAAAAAAACCGCATCAAAATCCGTTGCGTAGTTTTAAAGATCTAAGCATACATACGGACATACAGCGAAAGCGACTTTGTTTTATACTATGTATTGATAATAATTATAATGGGGATGATGACAGGGTATAAAAATTAAAAATATAATTAGTCCATAAGTTAGGTAATTAAAAAATATTAGACACGTATTTTTTTCTTTTGTCGTATAATAAAACAATAATTAGATAAAACGAATCAAAGTTTAGGAGTGGGGGCTAAAACGTCATTTCTTAGTATAAAATGTACTGAGAAGTGACGTCACGCGACATTTCAAATCAATATATCGTCGAAAGTATTCGTTTCTGTAAGAAAATAAAAATACGTGTCAAATGATTTAAAATAATCTACCAGACGGACATAACAATAAAAATTAGTCGTCTACCCTATTCCTACCATTTTCCTTGTAATGCAGCTATTTCCAATTAATATTAGACTGAAGAATTCCAAGCAATTTACAACAAGTAACAATTGAATAACATAACATACCTATATCAATAATATCAATTAGTAACTCGAGTAACTGCTAATAATCACTCTGTTTAATATGTTGATATGTTGTACCCAAAATTCGTTCAGACAAAAATAGTCTATAAACATCGGAAATAAGGACGATATTGGAGTTAGCGGAGGGTAGTCACCAGTGACCTCTTGAGAATTGAGCAGTTCAAAGTATTTTGCCATGACAGTGTTATAGAAAAATAATGTAAAAGTTACATAAAACTAATGCTTTATCAAAAATACTACCTTATCACAATGACAACTGCTATACACATCCAGGGTGTCCGCAATCACATCTATCACACCACTGGTGATGGACTCCACCTCCTGAGCGAGGGACAGGCACTCCTCGGCTGCAGCACTCTCATCATCCTTCCATTGGTGGTATGAGGAGTTCAGCTTTGATACTTCTAACGTCAGTTCTTCTTTTGTTAGCCTGTAAAAGGTACATTATATTATCTATATATATAAAAGAAAGTTGTGTTAGTTACACTATTTATAAATCAAGAACGCCTCAATCGATTTAGATGAAAATTGGCAAGGAGGTAGCTTAGAACCAGGAGACGGACATAGGATACTTTTTATAGAATACTTTTTTTACTTTTTACTGGGGGCAAAATGGGATTGCGCGTACGAAGTCGCGGGCAGAAGCTAGTTATATAATATAACACACCAAACACAGAAATTACTGGACCGATTTGAATAATTCATTTTATTTAATTATCTAGGAAGGCTATAAGGCTATGATCAATAGGCGCCAAGCAGAGCAAGTAAGCCGTGCGGAGTAAGCTAGTTCCAATATAAATTCTACATCGAATAATTATAATGATGATTAGATTTGTATGATAAAAGACAGGAAAAACGAAAATAGGTACAGTCTGGAGTTTGGTTGCCATTTTAAGATAATATACAATATCTTGATTAATGACTTACTTGGTATTGAATCTAAAAAATTAATTTATTTGATTTTAAACACTTACTTAATGTGTCACAAAGTATAATGACATATAAAATAAGGTCGACTGTAAGACAATACCCAAGGCATTAAGTCCACCTGTACATATGTAACTGTACTAAGTCTAAATAAATAAATAAAATAGAATGTGTACATAAATAAATAAATAAATAAATAAAATAGTGATATTCCATCTACGACATATGTACACTATTTTTGTAACAAAATTGCAACAAATAGAGATTTATCAACTTACCCGTTCTGTCTCTTCAAGTCATTGAGTATAGATTCCTGTTTCTGCAACATATGCAGCCTCTCTTGTAACATTTTGATGTCTAATTCCACATCTTCTTTTCTATCCTTATCTCCCGGTAAGCAAATACCTTCATACTGCTCTTGTATGGCAGATATAGAAGATTCTAGATCCTCTGCAGAAAGGAGAAGACCTTTCTTTTCTAGTTCTATGTACCTGTAATAAATAAAAGTAAAATAAGAATGTATACTGATCAGTGAATATTTGTAGAAGTAGAAACCTATTAATTTTGATTGTTGAAGTTATTGATTATAAAGGAGGAATTTTATTATTGTGAATTTGTTTGTTCTTATATCATATCAGATACGAGCGAAGTAACAAACTATTTACCGTCAGGTATTAGCTATTTTATGTTCGAATAGTGCATGAAATTCTAGCAAAACACTGAGTTCCAACTATGTGGTATTTCCAATAGCTGTTTTGAGAAATCAATTCCGAATTATGAATATAGCTAAATATTGCTCTTACCGACATTCTTCACGGGCACTCAAAGCATTATTATGGTCCAAATTATTGTGAAGCCAACGTAAAACTCCCGCAAAATCCCGATCGTTCAACATCCATTCAAACGACTTTTTATAAGTATCAACGCCTAAACTATGCAAGAATGGCACAAACTCTTCATCACTCATTTCATTTAAAGCATTCATTTTTATATTTAATTAATAACGCTTAAAATTGAATTTAACATTCATAGGCCGTTAATGTTTTCGAAAAATCAAAACATTATAATTTGACGTTTTGAATTGTAGGGTTACCAGTGCTTTCATACCCTTTGCTACCAAAAATTATCGAAAGCTTACTTATGGTTATGACACTTGCCTTAAAAAACTGAATTGAATTTATTAAATCAGTAGTTGATGGAATGAAAGTATACTAATTACCCTAAAAATATTATGTTAAATCAAAAACTATTTATAAAATATAACATTAACTCTTAGATATTAACATAATTTTTCTATAACATTCGCATATATTTTACTTTTGGCAGCACAGAACAAAGCGTTCACAAAGATAGCTTCAAACTATAGTTTGTAACGATTTATAAAAATAATGTAATACAAGACAAAAATGAAACAAGATGAAAATGCTATATTATTATTTTAATTAGGTCTGTATAATTGATTAGAAAACAGTTGGCTGTTGACATTATGTTTAGGAGACCAAATGCATTGGCATGAATGGGTCAGCTCGACCAGAAACATACCACGACTTCATTCATATCTGGCGTGAAACAACCCCTGCGTTGAGCCAACGTCAGGTCAGAGGAGTAACCGTAGCCTCATAAATCTCCAAAGTTATTCTTGCAACTCTTAAATGGTTTTGCGGGTGTCGATGGACGGCGTTCATTAATTTTAAAATCAGTCGTTCTGCCTGCTCTTTTGCTCCTATCACGACACGGCATACACACAACGACTTTTTCAACTACTAACAAATACGCAGACATTACCTTTATACTTGTTTTCCTAAACAACAACCCGAAAACCTAATCCCCTGTTTCCCAATCAATTACAATAATTCCATTACTTCCCTGTTACACGTGCTAGACAAACAAACAAACATACCCAGACACCTATATGTAACCCCCTCGATCAAACCAGAACATCCTGAGTCCCGTGTCCTTTTGCTCTTGACCTTGAACTTGTACCAGCGTTCAAGAGCGAGGATATGCCAAAACCGAGGGTCCAGATTGGCTAACTACACACCAAATTGTCACATCCTTCGTTCTTTGTGTCAGGATTATAAAATGATATATGGAATGACGCAGTTATTTCGCCAGTTTCTTTGTTAAGGTTCACTTTTGTTGACTTGTTGTGGACTGTGATTCGTTCTTTATGGACCTTTAAGGGGCCTGTCCAAACAATCAGCGTTAGTTAAGTGGTTTATGGCGAACGATTAGGACTAAAGGGTAATGTTTGAAAATTGACGCTACTGTTTATGAGAACATGCAAAACCTAACTGTTAGTAGCTAAATGACATGGTTTTAAATATATGAATTTCTGTAAGATATAATTCTATTTTGATACTGGCATTGTATAGATATTGTTGCACTGCTTGTTAGAAGTAAAAAGACAACATTTCACCTGGCTTAGCATCAATCAAGGGATGCCATGTAAGCAATAAAAGTAATGACAACAAATTATGTAAAAGCAATACTTAGAAATTTCTAAATAAATTCATGAATGACATAAGTTTAGCAACTAATGGGTTGCAGTTTGCATAACAGTGTAGGCAGTAAGTAGTAGGCGTACGGCCAGCATGCCTTTGTCCACAGAAAGTCCTTGTATTGTATTTCATTATGCGAAGTGGTCGTCACTGCTCGTGCCACGTCGAGACCACTTCAAGTCTTCGATGCAGACTCGCTTCCGTGCTCACAATATGAACAACTTTCTAGTGTGTCTCCAATGTCCTTTGACGACAATGATACGACAAAGAGTTTTATTTTAAACTGTCCTTTAAGAACTCTCATCAATAAAAAATTATATTAAATATAATAATACATATACTACATACAATAATACCTACCTATACCTACATTATTAAGAAATTTATGTAAATACATATTATAATAAAATAAAGAAAATATGTTAATGTTTAGTATGAAAACAACATTTATTAATAATATTATAATAAGTATTAATAGTAGTTTAATTAGATTATATTTTGCTTCATATGTTGCTGTGCCCTAGCCGGGTTTCATGTTGAAACTGTACCTTATGTAACATCAATTGTACACATGATATGCAATAAAAGAATTTGATTTCTCTGATCTCATCTAATTTTTGCGAAATGAGTAGGATAAATGACGTGTTTCCCAGTCTTTTCTAACTGCCTTGTTTGTATTGTTGTTTGCGGAGGCCTTTTAACTCTCAGGTTCAATTATTGAGTAAAATATCGCCAAGGCACTATGTAATAACGTCTTTGGTGTTGCAGAACACTTATCATTAGATGTCTACAATTTTGTTCATCTTGCTTTGGAATTAATTTTCCGTGACTTATTGTCTCCGTGAATACGACACGTGATGATCTGATGCTTGGTTAATCTCGTTAAGAATAGCCGTTAGGGTGCGCCCACATCTGATGAATGTGCCACAAATGTGCAGCTCGCGAGCCGTTTGCGAGCTGCGCGCGTGCAGTCACGGCAATGGTCTGATGCGCCTCTTTATTGAAACTCTTAATATTAATTTTAAATACACACGCGTAAACTGCTCGCGAACAGCACACATTTGCCAGATGTGGACGCACCCTTATACTCAAAATAAGTCGCGGAGAACCTAACGGGTTACCGGGGCTCCGACTCGACGTGCAGGAGAAGAAACGGGGTGGTTTTTAGTCAGTAAGAGTCTGACACTCCTTCCCGCCTCACCTAGGCGGGAGCAGTCATTCGATGATTTCCCCCCCTTAAAAAAATACTCAAAATAAAGTTATTAGGTACTGTATCTTACTTATCGTAAGACAATGGACACCCTCTCTCATTGCCTACATAGGAAATAGGCGACATGAAGCACTCTCAACATCAGCGTTGTCCTCACAAAGAAAAAACAATGCAGTCAGCTTGTTCAGGCATACAACCGATACTTGCAATCATCTTTATAAAACACAACCGTATTTCATGATTCACAAGGTACAAAATCCCTTGGGTTTTGTTAGTGAATGAATGTCAAAAGTCCTTATCGGTACTGAGGACCACTAGACTTGCTCGTGCGTTATGAACGCCTGGTACTTTTCTATTTGAATAGCACTGAGTTTGCAACCCCATGATATTTTGTGGATTTAACTAGCTATTTTCTTGGTTTTACTGTTATTTTGTCGAGATGGACACTGCGTTGGATTCTTCAGTTTTTTTTTATGGAATGGGAGGCAAACGAACAGACGGATCACCTGATGGTAAGCGATCAGCGCCGCCCATACACACCCGCAACACCAGAGGAGTCACAGGTGCGTTGCCGGCCTTTTAAAAAGGAATACGCTCTTTTCTTGAAGGTTTGAAGGTCGTATCGGTTCGGAAATACCACCGATGACAGACCATTCCAAAGTTTTGCTGTTTTCTTCAGTTAGAAAAATATTATTTAGCTTTTTAATTTCTAGTTGTACTTATTGAGTCACCATACCTATCGAGAAAGAGTGTCCAGTCACTAGTTAGAATACTCGATCTGCTATTTCTACTTTAGTCCAATGATATTAAATTTAGGGACCGAGAATTGAATAATTAATTATTTTAGAAGACGCAATTTTATTTTTGGTTCAGTGTTGGGCCTCAATAGAAGTTTAACCTCAAGTTTGTGGGATCGCCACCGTTGTCCCCCGCCATCTAGGAAAAAGGGGTGATATCTCGGCAAATATGCGTCTGAAAAATAGTTAAGTCATAATATAAGAAATCTAAATTCAAACATTGCAGTTAATAAATGGCTCTAGATTTGTGTCTGATGTATGTTATGGTGGGGTGCCTATAGCTGATGGCCCTGCCGACCCCAGTACGACATAAATGTTATTGATCCTTCACTCACCCTCGAAAAGCAACTCTTTCAACAATCTATTAACAATACATCACCCTATACATACTATTACATTAAGGGTTGTATACAGGGCGTGTCTAATTAAGGGGAGGCTATAAAAAGAATCTATTTGTGCCTAGTGTCTGCTTGTCGGTTTGTTTGTTTGTCTAGGACGAGGATCGAGTCTGTTCTTTTAAATATAGGCGGATATAGAATGGTATGGAGATAAGTTGAGATTTCTATTTTTATTATTTTTTTTATTTTATTTATTTAGAAAACCAACAGCGTTACATGTAGTTTACAAAAGTTTGCGTGAATTACAGAGATTAAGGCTAATAATAGGCTTCCCTTACTTTCTAGATTTTGTAAATATGCGAACGGACTTAATTAAATTAACAAAATAAGATCAATAACAAAAAAAATTACAAAAAATGATTTACTTAATCAGTTAGTCAATTACAAAGACTTAAATTTTGAAATAATGATTCAAGATACGGAGTCGGTGTCCTGATTACTTTTATTAATACATTTAATGATGTGTTCTTTAAAAGTAGGTTTAGCACAACTGAATAGATCTATTTCGGCGAAGTTATCATTGTGTGTTCGGGCAATGCGAGTCAGTACACAATTTTTTGCATATTTAGTCGAGCGCCGAGGTACATGTATCATCGGCGTATGGCGAGTGCGCTTTCTGGGAACGTTAAACGTTATTTGCTGGACCAACTCGGGGCAATCCAAGCGGCCATTAATTATTTCATTTATTTAAGGCTGTTTTTTGATACAGGTAAAGCTTCTTTCATTAATTTTATTTTTATGAGTTATATCGGTACAGGAGCACCTGATGGTAAACAATCGGCGTCGCCAATGGACACCTGGAACACCAGAGGCGTTACAAGTGCGTTACCGGCCTTTTGGGATTAGGAATTTGAGGATTGTTGGTGATTGGGGAAGGGGAGGGCGGTCATTGGGCTTCTAGTAATCTGACTCATACTATGAAACACAACGCAAGCGTTGTTTCACGTTGGTTTTCTGTGAGGCCGTGGTATCACTACGGTTGAGCCGGCCCATTTGTGCCGAAGCATGGCTCTCCCACTGGCTTGCTATGCTATGCACCCAATGTTATTAAGTTCATTTAAGGTGTGAATGTGACGTGTCATGTCTCAAAGTACTGGACATTTTTGGAAGATTGTCTTGAGACCAGGATCCAGGT